TTATCTGGGTCTCCGCCATGTTGGCTGATGCTCGCTCTCCCAAGGGGCATTAAAGCTATTTCTGCAGTAGGATCCTGTGTCCCGCGTGGTTCTTGCAGGCGAGGCCGAGCACAGGGCATCTGTCCATCCTGTAAAAGTATCAACAAGTTAGGAGATAATGGAGTTTTTAGGAGTGGGCATATGGGTGAAGTTAACCTGCCAGTATTTGCCTGGTTGATATCCTCAGAAATGGTGCAGGGGCTGGTGTATCTGGAGGGTTCTCTGTGGTTTGGCCTTGGTCCAGGTAGGAAGAGTGAACCTGCAAAATATACTCAGAAGTAGGTGGGGTCAAAAGGGGGTTCTGGAAACTGATATTAGTTTCCATCAGGACAGATTTCTTGACACAGTAGCAGAACTTTCCCCAGGAACCTGTAGGTATGTATGAAACAATTAGAACAGATATACTTCTTGGTGCCACAGTAAAAAAGTTATGGCTTTGGGTTAAAAGGCATGAACATTTTTCCTAGGGTCGGGTTTTAGCCCGATGAGACATACATGTCTGTACTTTTAACAGGAGACTTAATAACTAATGAGCTACCAAAGTGGTTGTAGTCTTGGGGTGTCAGGGGGGAGGTGTTAAACTGGTAAGGCTATCAGAACCCTAGTCATCAAATGCCATCAGATCTGAGAGGGGTAAGCAAATCAGAGGAAGGGAGGCAGCTTTCCAACTGCCTAGGCAGTCTCGGCTCTCTCCGTAGCCTTTGGAGGACCAGTGTCCCCAAGCAGTAACTGTCTTCAGCTGCCAAGCCCAGATCTGACAGACTTTCCCGTGGGGGGAACTGTGGGAGAATGACCCCACCATGACTTGGTAATGTGCAGTAATTGATCCCCCAATGTCTTGTTGTCCAGTCTGGGAAGGGTCTTGGCAGTGGTCTGTTGTGTGGCTGGTTTGCCACATTTAAGGCAAGTCTCCAGGTGGAAGTTCTGTGGCCATCCACCTTTGTGGAGAAGACAGGGCTGCTGCCAGGAGCTGGCACGCCTCTCTATCATAAAAAGCTTCTTATTAAACGCCATATTCTCAAATGGTGAAGCGATTAACAGCCTGGTGGTGTGCAATACCTGTTGGGCCAGGCCGTATCAAGCTGCCAAAACCAGGACTGGAGGTGGCCAGTAATCTAAATGACCCTTGCAGCTAAGGGCTCCCCAGGTTCCCACAGCCAGGACCAAAGGTGGCTAATATCCCAAATGACCTCTACTCTCTCTGTATCACCAAGACCATCCCCGTCCTAAGGTCTTTAAGCTAGAACCCGTCTTCTTGGAAGATAGGATATGCACCCTGAGTCGAGTTTCAATGCAACTACACTTCCTCGTGCACTGGGGATTGTATTACACCAGAACCTTCTTTCCAAACTGTACTTGTTTAAATACGCTGGCAGTGAACCGCCTGGCATCAAGCTCCCTGAAGTCTTGACCCATGTTGATTCAGTCAATCTAAACAGTTTTCATTATCACCCCTTGGTGGTTTGCTACCCTGCCTGCTGTGACAACCTGCAGTGTCCCCTCAGGTCTCTGGAAGCATTGTAGCATCCGTGCTGTGTTCAGGGAGCTCACATCCCCGTCTCTAAGGACAAAGGGAAGCATGCTTTCATTCCTCCTCAACACAGGACCCATCAGCATCCATGAGACGCCAAATCAGGAGTCTCCTGGTCCGGCTCCCCTGAGTTCCATGCCTATCTGTGGTGGAGAAAGCGCATTAGGTTAGAAACAGACTCCAATATAGTTGTTTTATTTGTTGCAGTAAGAACACAACACATGATCTAGTCTTCAGCTTGTTTGTGTGTGTCTGATACATTTGATGCGACCCAGCAGTTCCCTAAAACTAAGCAAATACTGTCATCTTAGCCGAGTGATAGAAGGTGGGTGGGGGTGTCCGTGTGTGCACCAGACTGGAAGAACTCTGTGTAGGCCTGGATTTCACAGCTCCATGGCAAGGTTAGTCTTTTTAATTTATTGTTATTATTGTTATTATATGACTGCGCTGAGAGGCACACACACACCTCAGAGTACATGGAAAGGTCACAGGACCATGTTGTGGAGTCGCCCATCTCTATGTGACTTCCTGGGAATGAACTCTGGTGCTCGGACTTAAGCGGCAAACACCAGCTGACCCATCTCACTGGCCCCCATGTTTGTTTTTTGAGACAGTCATCATGTATCCCAGATCAGCCTGAGCTCATGATCTCCAGTCCTTCAGGTACCGGGATGATAATTGTGCCACCATCTTGGCCTCTGCGGTGCTTTGGATACCAAACGCCATCATCATTTGAACACGTAGTCCTCAGTCAGGTAGCTGTTTGGTTTGGGGTGCAGCTCTGCTGAAGGAGGAAGTCCCTAGGGGTAGGCTTTGAGGTTGAAAAGCCTCCACCACTTCAGTTTGTTCTCTCTGCTCTGTGCTTGCAGCTTCAGATGTGGGCTCTCAGCTCCCTGCTTCAGGGGCTATGCTCCTGGCTGCCATGCCTCCCATCCCGATGGACTCGTGTCCCTCCGGAAGTACCAGTTAAAATCAGCTCTATAAATTGCTTTGGTCGTGGTGTTTTGGTCACAACAACAGAAAGTAACTGATAGAGTCTCCTGCTTTAAATGGTTGCTTTGTGACCCTAGGAGACAAAGTAGCCAGTAGACACATCAAACATGGCTGCATCTCTAGGTAGCAGCTTTTCTCTCAAGGACTTGGTGATAGAGTGAAGAGGGTTGTAACTTTCTTATCTTTTCATGTTGAGATTTGCTTTGTTTCCTCTGACCTGACTGTGAGTTCACCTGAGACTTCATAACCAAGACTCTGTAGTGGGAAAGGAGTTTGGTTGGGCTCTGAGTTGACAAAGCAGGCAACTTCCTCTTCCTCCCAGAGCCCTGAACACTTCCCCCCACCCACACCTACTCCCATCCACCCCCACCCGCCAAAAAAAAGAAGAAGAAGAAGGAGAAGGAGAAGGAGAAGGAGAAGGGGAGGAGGAGGAGGAGGGGGAGAAGGGGAGAAGGAGAAGGAGGAAGCATGTTAAACCACCAAGTTGGGGGAAGCTTGTTGCAGCATAACAGGTTAACAAAAGAAGTCCCCAAACCTGCAGTTACCAGAGTCCAGAGTCTTAGGTTAGCAGACTCAGCAGGTGGGTTATTGAGTGTGACTCTGGGCAATTCTACCTCTTGGTTCTGGAAACAATTGCAGTGCCAAAGTTTGAATTTAAATTTAAATCAATTTCAATTTCAATTTAAATCAAACAAAAGTAAACCCCAAAGAGTAGAGCTTTAAACAAGCCAGAAATTTCCTTCTTTTAAAGAAGCCTGGGTGAGCAGTCCAGGCCAGGACACTGGTCCAGCATGCCAAGGACATTGGTTTTCTTTTCACCCTGCTCTACATGACATCAGCCTTGTGTATTAAAAACACGCCTCAGCCGGGCTGTGGTGGCACACTCCTTTAATCCCAGCACTCAGGAGGCAGAGACAGGTGGATCACTGTGAGTTTGATGCCAGCCTGGTCTAGAGAGTGAGTTCCAGGACAGGCTCCAAAGCAACAGAGAAATCCTGTTTCGAAACAAACAAACAAACAAACAAACAAACAAAAACAAAACAAGGAGACTTGAGGCTGCAGGGTGGAGGGAGGGATGAAGAGGACAAAGGTACTTTCTCCTGAGGGAGGTTGTTCAGAGCCACCCTGTGTCCCCTTTGCTGCTTTCCATTGGCCCGTGTCTCTCCTCACCATGCCTAATGGAAAAGAGGCTGCAAGATGCTTACCTTGCCCTGAGCTCTAAATCCTGTCACTTTGGGTAAGGAAGCTGCTGGGCGGCTCTGAGCAATATCTGCCCCCCTGCTGTTCCTGGAAAAAGAACAGCAGAGAGATTTTCATGTAGGGTGTTGACCCAGGGAAGAGCATGAGCAGTTGCCCCCCACCCCCGTGTCAGAGAGTAGGGACATGTGATAGAAGCCAGCTGCAAATCAGGAAGATCACATGGAAAAGCCTCCAGATGTGGTGGCTCACATCTGTAATCCCAGCACTCCAGATGGGAGACAAGGCAGAAAAATGACTGGAGGCTTGCTTAAACTGTGCAGTAGCAGAAACATGAAAACCTCTGACCTCCACAGGTGTGCCGAGCACACCCACCCTGACCCCCACACACTGGAGACAAATGAAGAGAGGGAGGAAAGAAGGGAGGAAGGGGGAAAACAGCCACTTGGCAGGAGACTGGAAATGCTTCTCTACTTGGGCTGTGCAACAACGCACGCTCACGGAGAGCTGTGCTGCACAAACATGGGAGCTGAGTGCAGAGCAAGTGATCCGTGCAAGTGTCCTGAGTCTTACGGCCTGATGCTTCCCCCGTTCTTGAGTGGCTGTATCTCCCTTAATAAATGACTATTTTTTGTTGTTGCTGCTCTTTCTGTGAAGCTGTGGCTGTGCCGACTCCTTAGGAAGACCAGGCTGGCCTTGAACTCACAGAGATCCCCTGTCTCTGCCTACTGAACAAGGGCATGAAAGCCTAATGCTGTTACACCCCACCCATACCGCGCCAGCACGGTCTGGAACCACGAGTCTCGGCGGAGGGTGTCCAGGTTGAATGAAATCCACAGAGCACGAGGTTGAGGTGAAACAGCAGCTTGTTTATTGTTCTGCTTGGGCTAGCTTTTATACCATGGCACCAAATGGGGAGGGGGCTGCGAAGGGACTGTCACCTGACCCAAGGAGGGACTCTCACCTGACCCCAGTAGGGGTCAAGGACTGATCACGTGCACTCCACCTTCACCTGTCCCCAGTAGGGACTGTCACCTGACCCCAGCAGGGATCAAGGAATAATCATGTGCACTCAAACTTCCTCATCCAACTCCAGGAGCAGAGGGACGTTATGATTCTTTGCAGATAAGCATCTCAAATGGGGGCAGGGAAATATAACTCGGGGTAGCAATTCCCACACACCCAAATGTCTCTAATTGCACAACCTTACCGCATGCCCTTGGTGCAATCCTTTGTCCAGGAGCATATGGACCTGTAACTGCAGTGGGTGCCCTCAGAACTCAGACGTGAAACTGTAACACTGAGGTCAAAGGAAACTTGAAACAAGACCTTGGAGGAGACAGAAACAGCATAGCCCAGGCAAAAGCTCCCAAGCAAAAGCTCCCAAGCGTCTCTTAGAAGATTGTGTGATCACATCTTCTGATCGGCTGCAGTGTCTTTCAAGGTACAAACTCTTTTTTATTTGTTAATTACATTTATTCATTTTGTGTGCATGTGCATTGTGTGTGTGTTGGTGTGCCGCAGTGCATGCGTGGAGATCAAGGGACAACTTAGCGGAGTCAGTTCTCTCCTTCCACCATGGCATCAATGACAATCTTTCTGCGATCTGATTGGGGGGGGGTCAGTTCCTTCCAAAAATGGGAGATTAGGATCTGTACTCCCAAACAATGGTGTTGAAGCATGGGTGTGTGATTTATGTGGTGCGGTTGTGTGTGCATGCTTGTGTGCAGAAAGTTGTTGGCTGCACATAAGAATTCACTTGCAAAGACTTCCAAATCGGGCAGCTATGCCTCTAAATATGGCTCCCGCTAAGGAATCATTTAGTCATCTGGAAATGCAGAGCTGTGGGAAACCGCAGAGCATGGAAACAGAAAGCAGGCTTCTTTCTCCTCACTGCTCAGCACCCAGAGACAGTTTTCATTCTATCCCCAAATCCCAACTGAAAAGTTCACGGAAACAGGAAAGTTCTACCATGTATCACATCACCGGCTGCACATAATAACAATACAAAATAAATCAACTAGAGAAAAAGCAAGCGGAACCAAAGATACTACTCAGCTTGGCTACCAATGGATTTGGAGAGGGATACACTATCAGGAGATGGGAAGAAGTGAGCTGCGGTGGGGCTCAATGCACAAGCGTGTGTGTTTGGTATGTGCAAAGTCCTGGGATCGATCCCCAAACAGATAAACAGAAAAGGGTCTTTTTAAAGATTAAAAAAAATCAAATTCTACTCAGAGGCATTAATGATGACGAATGGAAAACCTTGAGATGGTGACGGTGACATTTCTTCTGAGATGAGTTTTCGGGAGAGGGGAGCCCTTCCCATATGGACAAACAAGACAAACTCTTAGTTGAGTGTTTACCTGGCACAGCCCACCCTGTCCCCTGGTGTTCAGAGCCCATCAGGGAGACATGATAATGGCACACCCTCACTGAGAAGGCCTAAGGATAAATGTGATAGTACACAGGTCCTAGGAAATGCCCAGTAAATGAACATTTGAATTATTACTCATCGCAATTAGCATTATTTACAATTATTTTACAATTCTGAAATTGTAGGATGATGTGTCAGAAAGGCTAACAAAGGAAAACAAACCAAGCCTTTTCTTTGAGCTGTTGCAGTGGGGTGACCACCTGGGGGGTGGCTGTGTCTCAGGGCTGTACTTACCAGTGGTGAGTCACTCACAAGTATTCAGCTGGCTTCTGTCTCCCCTGCAAAGAGAGGGAAAGAAGAGGGTAGATCTGGTAAACTGAGGCAGATAGCTCCCCTCAAATGTTTTCCCACGCATATAAACCATTTGTTAAAATGAGAAATTACTTTTCCCCCTGCAAATAACTTTTGAGGTAGGTGCTGTTGATTCCCAGCCCCAGAGTGGACCTTTCTTCTCCCTTCTTAGGATTCTGACACAGTTCAGGGTCTAGACTAGGGGCTCCAAACACAAGGGCCCGGTTTTCTGCAAGGGCAAGGAAGCCTGATTTTTGTTTTGTTTTGTTTTGTTTGTTTACTTTTTGAGACAGGGTTTCTCTGTGTAACAGCCCTGGCTGTTTCAGAACTCTCTCTGTAGTCCAGGTTGGCCTTACAGAGTTCCACCCGCCTCTGCCTCCCGAATGCTGAGATTAGAGGTGTGTGCCGCCATTGCCTGGCAGTGGTTGGTTCAGAAATAGGCACTGAGATATGAGGACACTGTGCTATAAGGCCTCTGGGAATCTTGTCCTCATTTTTAAAAGTAACAGGCATCCCTTCACCTCCTTTAACCCCAGCTCTCAGAGGCAGAGGATGACCGAACTGAGTTCCAGGTCAGCCTTGTCCACAAAGTAGAATTCCAGCTGGGCAGGGCTGCATAGTGAGACTCTGTCAGATAGACAGACATACAGACAGGTATAGAGAGATGACAGATAGACAGACAGATAGATAGACAGACAGACAGATAGACAGAGAGAGAGATGACAGACAGATGACAGATAGACAGACAGGATGGACAGATAGACAGATATAGATAGATGACAGATAGAATGGATGGATAGACAGACAGACAGACAGGTAGATAGATAGATAGATAGATAGATAGATAGATAGATAGATAGATAG